TTTACAAGAATTGCTCCTTCTGGAGTATCCTTCTCTTTATTTAATCAGGAAATGTATACAAACAAAACTATAAGTTAAGGAAATCTTAGAGATTGACAAATATTTATGTTTACCAACGATAACAGCTGGTTATTTGTACGTGTTTCCTGCTTGTACAAGCGATGTGTGGGTGTAAGAACTGTGCCTTACAATGTGACACTGCTAAGTGCATTGTACACGCTGATACAATAGTCACAATGCTCTGTATTTAAGCTTTCCATCTTTCCTTAGCTCGGTACTGGAACAGTGAATAAAATATTAGAAATGCCGTTATTTACAAGTCTTATGGCTGAACTATGCCTCTTATTATTCCTCGTAGCTTCATATTGGGATTTCAAAATGTTTCTGATTACATTCCAATTAAGCATTGGCACAGGCTTTCAAAGCTTTCTATCACTTTGGGTACTGAGATTAATAGAAAACCACATCAATCTGTTATGTTTTTATTTCATTTAGTGATGTCGGCACAGGCCTACCGCTTTAGCTGAATTATTTCTTTAATATCTGCCAAATAATACTTTGGAGCTGCTGCTTGAGTTATTAAAGCAGAGCTAAACTCTGAATAAATCACCAATAAATTTGTGTATAAAAATATTCTGCTCTTTCTGTTGCAAAGTAAGCCTCCTTATGAATATGACATGACATTCGGAGGCAAGAAAAGTGGGGATGCTGCTCACCCCAAAATTTCAAATTAAAGAATGAGTGCGTTTTTAAATAACTTAGGCCCAGTAGCCCCACACATCAGCTAAAGTCTACACCATCACCCAGACTTTGGATAAGATGTTAACTAGCTTCTTAGACATGCAACCTACATTGTGCTTGGCCATGTTCCATTCTCATGGCAGCTAGTGGACTGTGAAATACTGCATGTGCACAGCTCTCTGCTACAGATCATAGAAACAACCCTGTCTTCTAGCTTGGCACAAGGAGATGTGCTCTTTGGTAAAGAGAATGTTCAGTTGTTCTTTCAAAACATTAGGCTCAGCTCACAAAGCTTTCACACCAGGCTTGCGCATGTGCAGTAGGAAATCAGCTGTGAAGCCAGACTGCTTCACTGCTGGTTTCCCTTACCCAAGATGCTGGCTCCTGCAGCCAAAGCCAGTTGAAGAATTGGCTCTGGTGAGGGCATCGCTGGATCCATGGACAGGTAAGTGTCCTTATAATAAAAGTCACAAACTACAGTATTTGTAGCTGCTAACTTTTAATTTTTCGGGGAGACTGGAGTTCCACTTTAAGGCTGTTGCAGTGGTCTGGTAATGAGTTTGGTTGGTAATAAAAGTAGATGCTTCAACGCCTGATAGAGAAACCTTGATATCACAAAAAAGTCATTTTACTGTCTAGTAAAGAGGTTAAGTTGAGTGCTAGAAAACTAAGCCTTATTTCATAAAATATCCAGATCAGAAATAAAATCTATATTTGTAAATAATATAAATAAATATTCTATAAATAAAAGTTATTCACAACAAGATATTAAAGCAGTAATAAACTATGGTAAAAAAAAAAAAAAAAACCAAATTGGTACTCCTTTAGGCTCATGTCCTAATTTGTTAGTATGCACCACATACTCAACGTGATTTTTGTGAGCTGCTATGGTGTATACTATGAGTGAAAAATAAAATGAAGTGAATATATACTGTATATAAAGAAACCAACAGGTTAACAAAATATCACCATGTGTTTGGTATAAATGAAAAATAAATACAATGAAATATAAATCAAATAAGCTGGTATATAAAATGTTAAATAAATAAATAAATAATTAATTAAATGAATGAGTGGTTTGCCTACTCTATACATATACTCATACTAGTGTGTCAAAATAAATAAAAAACCAATGGCGTTGCGCTCTACTATCAATAATGAACATATATATATATATATATATATATATATATAATTTTTAATTGTATCTATTTATCTATCTATATATATATATATAGATAGATAGATAGATAAGATTAAATGCATTAAATAGATGAGATTATATTGAATAAATTAAATAAAATAAAAAATGAGTGAATAAATCCAGCATTAATTCAGCGACTTGATATTGTAATCATGCTGGTTCTGCATGCATGTCTTCGAATAATCCGTGACTTTGAAGTGTTTTCTAATGGTGTAATGCAAAGTAAATGTAGTCCACCAATCTTAAATAGTGTGCTCCTCTCACCTGATGTATATGACCAAACCGTTAAGTGAGGTCATACAAGCTTGTGTCCCTTTAATTGGACTCAAAGGTGAACAGATGAATATATCCCTGTTTCCCAGATGGATGGATGGATGAATGGAGTTTTTCCCTTTTCCCAACAGGGGGTTTCGCCGTTTCCTAGGGACCTTCAAAATCACGGATTATTCAAAGACATGCATGCTGCACCAGCGTGATTGCAATATCACGCCCCTGAATTAATGTTGGACTTATTCATTATATATATATATCCAATATATATATGTTTATTGTAGATAGTGGAGAGCGACAACATTGTTTTTTGATGCACCACATACTAGCGCATTATGACAGACTTACCTAAAAAACTGAACCCTTCCAGCGGTGTGCTGTCACAGCTGGTAGGTATTCCATCTTCACCCGGTCTTCCTTCCAGGTTCGCGGGCTCCAGCCATTTGAATGGCCGATCAGTGATGATATTGCGCATGGAGTCACAGCCATGGCACAGCTCTCTTAATGCACAGCATACAATCCATTGACAGCGCAGTGCACATGCCCCGGCAATATCAACGGTTGCTACTCATTTAAATATCTCCTAAACGGTGCACATTTAAGGAGATATTCACTGTACCTACAGATAAGCCTTATTATAGGCTTACCTGTAGGTGCAAGATAAAAAGCAGAGTTTACTACCGCTTTAAGAGAGGGTTCATAGGAGAAATGTCACAAGCCAAAAACATGCCACTAATTGCCACTACAGCTTTTCACGACATAATGCAAATGACTTTGGTCAGTTAATAAGGCAGCAGCTTACATATTACATCACAAATGGGACTCAACAGCAACTAAAGCTTTATGTGATATTATCAAAGTGTTCTTAGCTTATACAGATAGTAGCAGAACACAAGATAGTTACATAGTAAGTCTGGCTGAAAAAAGGCAAAAGTCCATCTAGTTCAACCAAAAAAAAAGTTATAATCCTATACCCACAGTTGATCCAGAGGAAGGCAAAAAAAACAGCAAAGCATGATCCACTTTGCTCCTGCAGGGGAAAAAATTCCTTCCTGATCCCTCAAGAGGAAATTGGATATTTCCTGGATCAACTTTACCTATAAATGCTAGTATCCAGTTATATTATGTGTATCTAGGAAAGAATTCAGGCCTTTTTTGAAGCAATATACTGAGCTGGCCAGAACCAACTCTTGAGGGAGTCTATTTCACATTTTCATAGCTCTTACTGTGAAGAAACCTTTTTGTGTTTGGAGATTAAATCTCTTTTCCTCCAGACATAAAGAGTGCCCCCTTGTCCTCTATGATGACCTTGGGATGAATAACTCTACACTGAATTCACAATATAAACCACTGATGTATTTATACATGTTGATTATATCCCCCCCTTAATCTCCTCTTCTCAAGGAGAGATAGAACCTACACGGGAGTCTGATAAAAAAAAAAAACAGTTGGCATAGCATAACAAACAAATAATCAAACAAAAACCAGGAACAGTTTTTTTTTTGCCTTACAATTGCTGCGGCATTTATTAAGGGGAGATCCAAAAATACAACAGACAATTAATATATAAATCGCTTTTGAAACTAGGCCAACCTTAATGGCACTAGCCAAACAGTAAACCAGTTTCAGATAATTAAATACATCACACTGTCCATCGGGCACTAAATGGGTTTCATCTCAGTAGTCTCCACCCTCCCTATTTTTCCTGGTGACCTATGTCCCAGAAACAGAAAGTGATAAGAAAAACAAAAATTTGCAGAAATAGAAATATAGGGAAAAATCTTGAGGACACCAGTTTCAGTAACAACTGTCCAAGTGAGGTGGTCAACTCACTTTGGAGAAATATACTCCTACTTCTTGTTGTGTCTTTGGTACAGGATGTGCAGGAAATGTTCCCCAATGGGACATGGATGGCAGAAAAAAAAACAATGGACATTCTGACTATTCCCTTCCCTATCCAAAACTAAATAAAAATTTATTTTGAAGAAATATCAACACAAGGATCATAAAGTAAATCCTAAACTAGAATAGAGGTTAAAATTGTTATAGAATAAAATATCAAGTGTTTAAAATGATTTTTTTTTAAATAAAATAATCCTTCCAGTTGCCAATATTTTTTACATATATAAATCTTAAAATGGTCAGATATACAACAAGATGATATTGTACACTGTTAAAAAATAATACAAATCCTTTTATACCTAATCAATCAACATTAATTGCCCACTTCTTTGATTGCAGTGGAACAGGACTTTTAATACTGAGCATGAAATTGAGTCTTTTCATACCTGCTCATAGCAATTTATGCATGTCATAAGGGTTCTTTTCCACAGATTTGTCAAATAAAAAACTAATGAATAAGCAGATGCTTGTATCTCATATACCACAGCTAAAATTATTCATGTGCATTGCCTATATAGTGGAATTTTTTTTTTAGGTTGTGAGGTATCCAGGTATATATGTGTGCGCAAGTGTGAGAAGAATGTGACATTATGAATATTAATGAGTGTTCTATTTATTTATTTTTTTAACGCTATACTATATTTATGATAGCATTATGTTAAAGTGGCATAATTGTGCCTGCGATGGCTCCATGCACACTGGCTTAAACATTGCTGCTTCCACAGGAGTTTTGTGTTTTGCCTTTAGTGTCCATGCACATTAGGAATGCTTAGAGGCAGGAAAAAAAAAAACCCTTCTGGTTTGCATGGAGCCTAACATGTACAATCACATACACTATATAAATATAATATATATATATATATATATATATATATATATTATTGCTCAGTGAATTCAAGCATGGTACCATGATAGGTTGCCACCTGTGCAATAAGTCCATCCATGAAATTTCCTTCCTACTAAATATTCCACGGTCAACTGTTAGTGGTATTATAACAAAGTGGAAGCAATTGGGAACAACAGCAACTCAGCCATGAAGTAGTAGGTCATGTAAAATGACAGAGTGGGATCAGCGCATGCTGAAGAGCACAGTGTGCAGAATTCACTAAATGTCTGCAATAGTCAGTAACTAAAGACCTCCAAACTTTGTGTGGCCTTCAGATTAGCACAACAACAGTAGAGAGCTCCATGGAATGGGTTTCCATGGCTGAGCAGCTGCATCCAAGCCTTACATCACCAAGTACAATGCAAAGTGTCGGATATAGTGGTGTAAAACACACCACCACTGGACTCTAGAGCAGTGGAGACATGTTCTGTGGAGTGAAGAATTGCGGTTCTCTGTCTGGCAATCTGATGGATGTGTCTGAGTTTGGTGGTTGCCAGGAGAACGGTACTTGCCTGACTGCGTTGTGCCAAGTGTAAAGCTTGGTGGAGGGAGGATTATGGTGTGGGGTTGTTTTTCAGGGTTGGGCTTGGCCCCTTAGTTTCAGTGAAGGGAACTCTTATGGCGTCAGCATACCAAAACATTTTGGACTATTTCATGCTCCCAACTTTGTGGGTACAATTTGGGGATGGTCCCTTCCTGTTCCAACATAACTGTGCACCAGTGCCCAAGGTCCATAAAGACATGATGAGGGAGTTTGGGGTAGAGATACTTGACTGGCATGCAAAGAGTCCCAACCTTAACCCAATAGAACATGTTTGGGATGAATTAGAGCGGAGATTGCAAGCCAGGCCTTCTCGTCTGACATCAGTTCAGTGCCTGACCTCACAGTGTGCTTCTGGAATGAATGGTCAAAAATTCCCATAGACACACTCCTAAACCTTGTGGACAGCCTTCCTAGAAGAAGTTGAAGCTGTTATAGCTGCAAAGGGTGGGCTAACATAATATTGAACCCTATGGACTAAGACTGAAATGCCATTAAAAGTTCATGTATTAAATACAAGATCAGCGAGCGCTCAAGACTCTGTTGAGGTCAGCAGCAAATGCACTAAAAAGGAACCCAAAACCTTATATAAAACATACACAAAAAATTGGTGCAGCGCTGAAAAAAATTAATATATAATAATATATACAAGTGCACTACTCAAGATATTATTGATATGAAAATATGAAAACATTAAATATAAGTGATAACACAGGAGTTAATGAAGCGCTACAATGAGCGCAATTAAACAAGTGCGCCTGTGAAAGTCATAAAACAAAGAAAGCGTTCATATGATGGTGAGGGTCTGACAAACACCGGTCAGAAAATTGTGCCGCATACAGATCCTGTTGCACAGGTGGTATCAGAATATTCCATGTGACTTTAATCCGTGCAGGCAATTGATAAAAATGCGCACTCACCAGATGCGCATAGTAAAAGCACAATGTGTTGAATCATATAGTGATCAAAGATCTGCTGGAAGCCCCCTTTAAGACAGGACATCATAGGAAGAGACTCCCTCCTCTGGATCTGAAACCACTCTGCAACTGCTCTCCAGCTGGAGCCCAGCAGGGACATGAAGACACGTAACAAATTAGTGGCTAAATGAAACTGTAGCCCTGGCTGGCAGCCTCATCCGCTCAGATCTGTATGCAATTTTCTGAGCGGTGTTTGTCTGATCCTCACCATCATATGAACACTTTCTTTGTTTTTATGACTTTCACAGCCGCACTTGTGTAATTGCGCTCATTGTAGTGCTTCGTTCACTCCTGTGTTATCACTATATATTTAATGTTTTTATATTTGCATATCAATAATATCTTGAATAGTGCACTGTTATATATTTATATATTAATTTTTTCAGCGCTGCATCAATTTTATTGTATATTAAAGTTCATGAGCATGTAAAGGCAGGCGTCCCATCACCCAACGTGGGAGATAAATGCCTGGGTACTCACCAACAAAGAAATATTAATACAAATACATAACAGATATAAATGCACCCACAGGTTTCAAAGTGGAAATAAATTAAAACAGCATTTTCTTGTCAATCTTGTGATGGAGCTCAGTACATCTTTCTCAAGATATATGTACATGTATTCTTTACTTTAATTTTGAGTAGCTTAAACTCATTTCTCAGCAACTGTTCAGCAATATTTTGTGTTTTAAAAGAATAATATTGAAAGATAGATTTCTAACTTTAATGATACATTCCATTATTGGAAGACATATAATAAAGCATTTTAATACAACATTTTATAAAAGGTAGGTTCATTTTTCATTTGGCCTACTTTTTTATTAGGAAAGTTTAGTAAATCAGCATGTTTACATATAGAGCTTAAAGCTGGACTTTTCAGCTGCTTATATTTTTCGTTCCCCGGTACTTCTTAACCCCCCTCATCAATATGCTAATGAAATTTTAAATAAAACCTTTCTGTTTTCATGAGATACCTTATTTTTAGATTAACCCAGTGACACCATTACTGAGTCTCTGGCTGATGTGGGAGGGGGAGGGGGACACCAAGGTGCTTTGTATAGCCTGTTTAAAACATTATAGTACCCTGCCTCAGAATGCCCCCAGCCCTGACACAGGCAGTGGGCTTATGCAAATATCAAAATTCCTTGATGGATGGGTGTAAGTCTGGTGGAATGGCCAATATTCCTGATCAGACTGTGTTTGCAGGTAAACACCCCCTGTTTTGCTGAGACTCCAGGATTTAAAGATCTGAAATCCTAGGAATAAAAAACAGTACAACTGGGGAGGAAAAGGCTACATCTAGCAGCCAGGGAATGAATCCATCTCTATCTGACTATCTAAAGCACACTTTAAGAAGCTTACAGTGTGCAGTGAAATCAGGCTAAAGCATTTTCAGTACAGAAGAGAGCCTGTACAACTGTGCAAGACTGAAGATAAGGCTGGAGTTCAGATTTAGCAGCACGAAAACACATGTGCATAAGCTTTGGGTTTTGTAAATCAGAGGAAGGTATATCCCTGCTAAATCTTCTGGGATTGATGGCCAAGGGAGCATATCTTTAATAAATCAGGCTCTCTTAAATCACAGTCAGGTTGTAATACAACTATTTCCATGATAGTTTTTCTACCAGATTGGCTTCCTTTCACTGTTTGGCATTCTGACAAACATGAAGGATGACAACTACTTGTGCATCAAGGGTAGTGTATGATAAGACTCAATACTCAGCAAAATCAGATTACAAAAGATGTAATCCTTTAAATCCAGCACTTTTATTGCTGGCAATTTATTGTGATGGCTTGTCTAAAGTTTGTGCCGTAAACCAAATCAAAAACATTTTGCAAAATATTAAGAAATAAAAGATTCATTTTTTTAAAATGCAGTCTACAACCATAACGAGTGGAAGCGCTATTAAATGTTCATGTGAAAGGCCTCAGAGGAATAGACTATAAAAAGTGTGAATACAATTATGTATTATGCTATTCCTGAGGCTCCTACTGGCAGCTATGTGAACAGTAATGTCAAAAGCTGACTTACCACTTGTCAAAAACTAGCAAAAGGAATTAATGAATGCTTCATTCAGCAGCTAAATATGAAAATGAGGAGCCAGAGACTTGAGCTAAATGGGTCGCTGATGAAATACCGTGGAAATAAGGAGTTCTATTGTATAAATATTATAGTAATTGAATCATTTTTCAGGGCTCCGATTTTTCAAGTTTTTCATTGCTATGCAATTAGCAGAGTGAATGTTTAGCTCTAAACTGTATTTACTAAAGGAAAACACTTAAAGGGTAGCTAAAGTCAAAACCTTTTTAAAAAAGTTTAAGAGTATGGAAGAGTCTGAATTCCTCTCAGGTTTTTTGCTGTTTGTGTGCCGTAGGGAATAGTATGTCTGCATTTCCTGTCTTGGGGACAGAACAAGATGCAAAATGCATTATGAAGAATTCCATATTGATAAATTTATTTTGTAAAGGGTATCATTACGATTTATGTATGTATAATAAAAAGGACCTCTTTTAGAAATTTATGGCACCATTTTGTACAGTGAGAATATGAAAGAATGTCATCTGCACTTCACTTAGCTCCTTTTGAAGTATTTTTTATTGATCTACGAATTGACTACATACAGTAATGTCTCCACCAAAAAACCAACCATCCTTGATAGCGTTTTACCGCTCCTGACTTGCTCATAAGGGACACTTTCCCTATTCTTGTTTGCAAACCAGTAGTGGTGAAACTCAATCAAGGAAGTTTGGTTTCTGGGTGGAGACATTACTGTATGTAGTTACATAGTTAGTCTGGCGGCTGAAAAAAGACAAAGGTCCATCCAGTTCAACCATTAAAAAAAAAAATTATAATTTCCTATACCCACAGTGATCCAAAGGAAGGCAAAAAAAACCCAGCCAAAGCATGATCCAATTTGTTATTGCAAGGAAAATAATTCCTTCCTGATCCCCCGAGAGGCAAATCGGATATTCCCTGGATCAAATTTACCTATAATTGTTATTTATCCAACTATATTCTGTGTATCTAGGGAGAGATATCAGACCTTTTTTAAATACTAATTCGTGGATTTATTGAAAATTATAGCAAGAGAGGAGCTAAGTGAAGTGTGGCTGACTTTCTTTCTTATTCTTCATGGAAAGTGGCGATTCCAATGGTCGGCACCCGCACATGTCCATGTATAAGAGAGTCCAGTCTTTGAGTGGAGCTATGTATCTGTTTGCATTTTTAAAGTGGTTACATTCTTTTCTTTTATGTCCTTTTTTTTTAAATCAGCCCTATTTTATTAAAAATAGTAGTTTAGAAAATAAAGTACAATGAGCTAAGGGCATTAGCAGAAAGATGAGACTAAGTTGTCGAACTTCGCTCAAAAGTTTGTGTTTCCTTTGTACTGGGTGGGTAAAATCCTTCCTGCATCAGAAATCATAGTATTAATCATAGCATTAACATGTGACTCTTCTTATATACTTTCTATAGTCCCAAAAAGGATTCTTATTGTGAGAATGTTTCTCCCAAGACATTTATTTTCTTCCACTATCTCAAAAAACATATGGAGTAGAGAAATAAAGCATTCATCTATTTGTGTTTATAATTTATTGAAAGGTAAAGATAAAGTGGAAATGTGTAGTGGAACAATCGACAACTGCCCTGCTGTGAATACCTTTATATGGACTTGATGTAGCTGGCACAGTTTCTAATAAGGAAAGTAATAAAAATTGTAACACATTCATACTTATATTTCCACAGCCACCCCGTTTTGAAACAAATCTCTGAAAAGTTTATATTTAAAGATATCATGTGGCCAGGGCTTTGGGCATTCATGTTTGAATGTATGTTGTTACAGGTCAAATTTTTAAAATATTTTTACAATCAGCATTTTTTTCTAGAAAATTACTTTGAACCCCCAAACATTTTATAATTTTTTTAAATCAGAAGGCCCGGGGAGAAGAAAATGGTAGTTGTGGGAATTTTTTTGTCACTCGATATTTGCACAGCAGTTTATCAAGGCGAACATTTTCAGGAAAACTACACTCAAGTGAATTTTAGGTGCACACAAACAAAAGTATACTATCCATTTTTGGTAAAATATAACAGATAAGGTTGCTTCAAGTAAATGGATACCAAACATGTCAAGACAAAAATTTCATGCAACTGAGAAATTGAGACAAATAGG